CCGGTTCGCCGGAGAGAGGGAGACGGGGGTGAGGATCCGAGTACGGAGGAATGGAAGAGAAAGACGGGCGACCGAGTGAAAGTGGAGAGGCTTTGAAAAGCCCTGACACTAGGCAGACAATTAGCCCCAGCTTCTGTTATCTGTGCCTTTTCTGTAGCCGCTGCCCTGAAGGCGCGGGTCAAGGGAAGAGCTGACCCAGTGTCAACACTCCTGCATGGAAGCCATTATCAGGACCTGATTGATTAGTTTTAGCGGAAATCTCCTCATCTCCTCCTTCTCCAGCTCGGGCTGCTGCTTTTTGTTCTTTGGCTGGGCTTGTATCTTGCCGGTTTCCCTGCCTTTACTTTCTTCATCTGTCTCTTGGACTTTCGTTGTGGGTGTAAATCTCATGGAAACTTGTCCGAGTCACATTAAAAAAAAATTATATATATATTTTGCATGAAGAAAACAAAGGATATTATTATTATTATTATTTGCCTTTATTTATTTATACATACAAATTAAATCACCATAATGCATGCCGATTAAATGATATAATGTTTATTTATTATTTTAAGTATTTTTTTTTATTTAAATTAAGAATAAGAAATAAAATAATAAATATCAACAAATGTATTAACAAATATTAACAAATGTATTTTAAAATGTCTATCTATCTATCTATCTATCTATCTATCTATCATCGGCTTTATTTATTTATGGAAATTGTCATGTCACAATGCAACTAGTCTTAGAAGGAAAAATATCCATTTTCATTAAGCAAAGTATAATTTTGTATTACTTCCGATCGCGCATGTCTATCTATCTATCTATCTATCTATCTATCTATCATCGGCTTTATTTATTTATGGAAATTGTCATGTCACAATGCAACTAGTCTTAGAAGGAAAAATATCCATTTTCATTAAGCAAAGTATAATTTTGTATTACTTCCTTTTGATCGCGCATTAAAATATGACCTGGACACGTTCTTGACAGGTTTCATGAGATTCATCCTTATGCATATCTACTGGTCTTTTTGACTTATTGGGATGCAACATCCATTTATTGGTGGGCTAAAACTCTTTATCTGTAACACAGGGACATGCTGCGGGGGTAAAGCTCTTTGTCTTTGGTTTTAAAGACTCTGCCCTCCTCCCATTAGCCCAAAGGGGGGTCAGCTTAACTCTGGCAGGGTTGACACTGCCTTAATGACGCCCTGTTTCATGCCTTATTGAGAGCGGTGACTGAATGGCTGCCGGACACCTATTTTCTTTTTAAATGAGGGTCTCTGCTTTCTCTGTGCAGCGTTTCAGTTCATAAAGCCTTCACCGAAGGGGCTCTCGCTGTCATCTGAGCAGCCTGTAGCTTGGCACCTGGTTTTAGTTTGACTCCTTCCACACAAACGCAGTAAAAGAGCAACACGCGCCGGTCCGGGAGCTCGTGTGGATGTAAATAAAACGTTGCAGGCTCAATAAAAGAGCTAAAGTGCGGCGCACGTGCTACGTTAGGCTTAATTAAATTAATACACTCCTATCGGCAGATTAAGCAGGACGTCTTTAGGTCTGGTATCACGGTAGGGATTCGTCTCGTGGGGTGTGATTCGAGACCCCATGCTTGCGTTTTTCACTCTAATCTCTCCGTCCTGCCCCGGAGCCGTGTTTATGATTCAAACAGAAGAAAAGTAAAATAACACCAGCATAATATTTCCCTTAACATACTTACCCCTTGGATAAACATCCTTAAACAGATGTCAGAACGCAGGCTGATCACAGACA